AATGTTGAAAGTTGCCATCAGTGCTAACATGATATTCACACTTGTTCCACGTCTTCATTTGCTTGAAGGGGTTCCAAAACACCCTTGGTCAGTTTATAGCCAGCTGTTCCAATGTGGGGAGAAATAATGCACAGATTGTCAGTTCTTTCTCCTTGCGGAGGATCCATCTATAGGCGTCAATTGCTGAAGAAAAAGTCTTCCGCCAAAGTCGTGGCTTCCACCAGAGATAGAACTCAGTATACTTGAAAGCAAATGTTGGACAAGATATGCTTTACTTACTTGGTTTGTCTTTTCCACCAAGATCAGTGGGCTTGCTGCATCTAGGAATTCGTCTAACCCAAGTGTAAAACCTTGGGTTCGAACTGTGCAATACTTCCATAAAGCATGGTGCAACCTTAAAAGCCGGATGGAGTAAGCTGCTTGTGGATGCACAGGCGAACCCCCAATGTATCCCAGCCTAATGAGACAAACTTGAGACTTGGTACAACTACAGAATTGAATCAATTCTTGCTTTCGTACTGCCATCAAAAAAATTGAGTTGATCATTTTCCATAAGAAGTTGAATGAATTAGCAAACACACCCAGGATATCCACCATATCAACCTTACGAGCACGTAGATCACCCACACCACAGCAACATTCCTTATTGAAATCTTTATCCCAATTTGAAGTATCACCCCATTGTGAGGTGACCTGCGATAATGTCATATATGAAATGAACATTTCAGGTAAAACCTTCTTCCAATTGGCGTGTTCTTTCAATCTCTTGCTTTTATAATATGAACCTTCGACGTATTGGGTGAATGGAATGTTGACATTTGGTACAACAGCAAAATCCTGAATATTTTCTTCGTCGTGGTGATCATCGTCATTCTCGTCATCCGGATACATGTGCGGCAGTTAGTCCAAGTCGTGGTTGGTTCCGTGATGAAGATCAGCTATAGCATCATCTCCAGCTTGGCCAGTTAGTATATTCGACCCTGCACCAGCTTGTTGGAGAGCGATTTCGATTTCTTCAAGCCGGTTTTTCACGTACTGAGCCTGGCTGTTTTCCACCCGAGCAACAACGATTGCAGACCCTTGAGGAAGTTCAACACGCCTCTTTTTCTTGTTGGACTGACCAAGCGGACATGGAATCGTCTTTCCTTTGCCCATTTTCGAACAGTGCGATGAGGTAGTTTGGTGTAAAAGTGCTGATTCGCTCAGGAAGGCAATTGAGATTTATAAATTTCAAAGAAGGTCGCACAGACCCCTCCGGATGTCTACCGGTCAGTTATCTTGCCCCCTTATATCAAACAAGGGTTCAATCAACTGCCGTCAACTCCTTTCTTGGACTAGTACGACATTTTTTCCCAATGGAAATTAAGGTGTACTGTGATATTCATGGTGTACTGTACATTTGTAATCACCCCATTTCTGTATGCTGTATATGTACAACTATTGGTAGTACACTTTTTCACGTTTTTGAACTCCACTCCATAACAACCACCTTTGACCCCCAACTTATTCCTAACCACCGATATGCCAACCAAGAGTCGTCCCATTCGAACACCGGCTTCACCAAATCCCCCAAGACCTATACGAGCAATGCGACCAAATCAATCTAATCAAGGTTCTCGCAAGCGTTTGCGTAGGATCTCAAATGTGGAAGATGATGACCACTACGAACCTTCTGACGATAGTGATTCGTCAGATGACACCGATGTCGACCTCAATCCCCCTGCAACTTCAACCAGAAATAATCGACGTCAAACACAAATTCATACTGTTGACGATGACCTTTTAGAGCGACTCTCGAGACAAATCACCCCTGAAGCAACGAATCCACGTGATCCTTTGCCCAATATTCCCGATATCAACCAGGATGACTCTGCAGTTGAAGACTTAGATAACCTACCAAGTGTTACAAACTATAAGTCAGTAATTGATGAATGGCCTCTTCCACGGATTGCTGTGGTGGATCGACAACAAAAGAAAAAGCAAAATGTAGTACCACCTCAAATTCTGACGGAAGCTCAAGCCATTCAAACACTTTACAAACAACAAAAGTCGTTGCTTGCAATAATGGGCAATGTTAGTATGTTTACTCTTGATAAAGCTCTGTACGTATTCTCAATACATATTTCTCCTCTGTTTTATATTGCTTATATCTTTGCTTTTGAAAAAGAGGGGAGCTTGGAGGTCGCCGCAGGCCAAGTGGTTACCAAATATTCCTGAAGTATAGCAATGAGATCCGACCAGAGCGCAGTAAGTGTCCATACATGGCTTATTTCCTTATGATCAAAAGCTAATAAGCCATGTATTCAAATCTAGTGCCGAAAAAGGGCGGTGAGAAAGGTATTTTAGCCAACCGAAATCGCATACTAGGAGCAAAATGGACGGCACTCCCACTTCGACATCGAGAAGTGTTTTCACCCCCCGTATTTTATGCGCTCTCTGGCCTCACGTACTCTAAAGCAGTGAGTAAGGACAATGAAGACATGGATGATTCCGAGGATGAAGCCGAAGTCCAAGAGGCCATTCAAACTTTCGAATTCGAGCCAGGTGAACGTGCTGAGTTCGAAGCTTTGTATGATGAGCTTGTTTGGAAAGCCAAAGTGGCGAAAGAGTATAGCAAATTGGTCTCTGGGAAATCTCAAGGTCCAACTCTTCCAGATTTTAACCGGCAGTCCCTCAAATGTATTGAGCGGCTCCACAATCAGGTTAGTGCATTCCTCATGCATTTCCTCCTTATCTACTTATATTTACAACTTTACATCTATCAACAACTCAACAGATTGAAGACGAATCAAAAAACATGGGATTTAGTTACTATCTCTTAGCCTGTAGCACATATGCTTCATCCGAAGTAGATACCTCTTCACGGGGATGGTGTAAGGAGTACACATCGCATGATGATATGGCCACATATGTTAATAAAAAATGTAACTTTGCGACACTATTTGGAGCAACTGCACAAGGACTATCTGTAGCTGAGATAGTTGCCGAAACTATTGGAGGACACATGAAGAATAAACAAAGCGCGAGAAAAGCTGATGCAGGTGATGTAGTGAAGTCAAAGCTTGCGGGAACCTTACGAAGCAAACTATGTAAGTTCAAATTTTATTCAGGTTGTCTTATTGTTTTTTGGACTGAGTGCTGAAAATTGAGTTTTTCAATAGCGGCTTTACTGGGACGTGATCAAGGCTTTCCCCATGGCCCAGACCCCGAAGCCATTTTCAAAGCAAGAGGTTACAACATCAAAATTGTACAATTACCAGGTTCCACACTTCCACAAAAAACTTTGAAGCTAAGCTTTGCTCGAATGAATAGAAGTCGCTCCCTATGGCTGGATGATATTAATGCTGACCTTTTTAAGTTGGAGAAGATCCCATCCAATGTGAATGTCGGTGGACTCAATGAAAATGAGGATGAGTTTGATGAAGAAGTTATCAACACGCAGATTTCACAGGACATAGATGAGGAGGAAGAATGGAATGGCTTAGGATTTTGAAAAAAATCAAAAGGATTACGTAAATGGGTTAGAGTCTTTTGAATAACAGTAATAATAAAACCTCATACCAAAATTAATTTTAGGAAAATGTGTTCCCAAATGGGAGATTTGATTTCACTCATTTGAAGATCACGCATGTGGGATGTGATATCACACATGTGTGAACTTACATCCCACATGTGAGACACGAAATCACACATGTGGGATGTGAGTTCACACATGTGAGACATAGGCTCCCACTTGTGTGACATGAGATAACACGCTTGGGAGCTGATGTCTCACATGTGTAATTTCATGTCCCACTAGTGTGATTGGGAATCCCACATGGTCACCCAAGTGGGACATGAAATCACTCATGTGGGATGTGAGATCCCACATGTGTGATTTCACATTCCGCATGTGGAATGTAAGTTCACACATGCGTGATCTCACATCCCACATGTGGAATGTTAAGTTCACACATGTATGATCTCACATCCCACATGAGTGATCTGATGTGACTATATCTCGTGGGATCAGATCCTTTGCCCATTTCTTCCCCTATACATGTAAAATATTTCATATGTATGATGTAATACTGTCCATATTACATATGGATTTATTTGGTGCATTCCATTTTGATTCACCAACAATACAGCAAACCATTTCCAAAGAAACCAAGATATCTATAAGGGTTTAGTTGAGGCAAATATGTCATCTCCCTCACCTAATCTTCTACCACACATGTAAAGGCTGGGATTTGAAAGATTTCATAGTGTGAGTACTACATCCTGTTTTTAAAAGTGCAGTACATTCTTTGTCAGCACAAATACTGCCCTAGCTAAGTTGAAAATACATGAAGCACCACATATACGTGTGGAATTTGTCAAAATTTGTCATTTACTCATCACATCAGCCCCACCTGTGAAGGGCTGGATATGGATGAAGTCTTAGTGTAAGTCTTGCATCCGCATTTCAAATATGCAGTCCTTTTTGCATTAGCACAAATACATCAAAAGTTATGTTTAAATAACTTGAAGAAATCACATATGCGCGTGGAAGATGGGTAAATCCGTACTTTCCCCATCTAATCCACCAGACATGTAAAGGGCTGGATATGGATGAAGTCTTAGTGTAAGTCTTGCATCCGCATTTCAAATATGCAGTCCTTTTTGCATTAGCACAAATACATCAAAAGTTATGTTTAAATGACTTGAAGAAATCACATATGCGCGTGGAAGATGGGTAAATCCGTACTTTCCCCATCTAATCCACCAGACATGTAAAGGGCTGGATATGGATGAAGTCTTAGTGTAAGTCTTGTTCCAGCATTTCAAAAATGCAGTCCTTTTTGCATGAGCACGAAAACTTCAAAAGTTATGTTTAAATACAATCAAGAAATCACATATGCGCATGGCAGATGGGGAATTTTGTACTTTCCCCATCTAATCCACCATGTAAAGGGCTGGATATGGATGAGGTCTTAGTGTAAGTCTTGTTCCAGCATTTCAAAAATGCAGTCCTTTTTGCATGAGCACAAAAACTTCAAAAGTTATGTTTAAATACAATCAAGAAATCACATATGCGCATGGCAGATGGGGAATTTTGTACTTTCCCCATCTAATCCACCATACATGTAAAGGGCTGGATATGGATGAAGTCTTAGTGTAAGTCTTGTTCCAGCATTTCAAAAATGCAGTCCTTTTTGCATGAGCACAAAAACTTCAAAAGTTATGTTTAAATACAATCAAGAAATCACATATGCGCATGGCAGATGGGGAATTTTGTACTTTCCCCATCTAATCCACCACACATGTAAAGGGCTGGATATGGATGAGGTCTTAGTGTAAGTCTTGTTCCAGCATTTCAAAAATGCAGTCCTTTTTGCATGAGCACAAAAACTTCAAAAGTTATGTTTAAATACAATCAAGAAATCACATATGCGCATGGCAGATGGGGAATTTTGTACTTTCCCCATCTAATCCACCACACATGTAAAGGGCTGGATATGGATGAAGTCTTAGTGTAAGTCTTGTTCCAGCATTTCAAAAATGCAGTCCTTTTTGCATGAGCACAAAAACTTCAAAAGTTATGTTTAAATACAATCAAGAGATCACATATGCGCATGGCAGATGGGGAATTTTGTACTTTCCCCATCTAATCCACCACACATTACAAGACACATTAGAAGAGTGGGATGAAGCCTCAACATGGAGTCATCATAGTGTAATCTTTAACCCACACTTGTAATAGTGGTTTCTTTATACTACAAATGATAAGCTGAAAAAACTCACCCATGTGCTTGGAACTTGCCCAAATATGTCATTCCCCCTTGTCATTTGCTTCACATGGAAGGTGCTGGATATGACGGTTTCAGGTCTGTAAGTACTCCAACCTCGTATGAAAAAAAAACTCATTTATCATTTGCACTAAAATAAAATGGATTGCTAAAGAGTTGGGTCCAAACTTTGGAGTGTGATTTTAAAAAAAGAAAAATAAAAATAAGCCTACAATATCTGCAAAACCGGTTATTGTAGCTATGAAAGATCTCAAGCTTCAAGAGAAGCTAAGATAGATGATTCTCTCTCTAGCATCTCAAATATAGTATACCAAACAATTTATTATGTCATCTCACGAAGATAGGTCAAGGAAAACACAGCGGGACTTGTATTTTCATAAATTCATAACTCCTAGGCGCAATCAATACTAGAATAAATTCACAACTTTATCAAAATTAATGCCCTATGTTGTGAGAAAGAAATGAAACATTTAATCTTTGCAAAAATCTTATACACTCTCTCATTTCTTTGCGATAAACTTATCTACTGAAATTACAATCATGAAGAGCAAGATTTGTGAGTAACCAAGGGTGGTCCTATATAAAAATCTTTTGAAATGCTTACTATTTAGAATTATAACATTTCATTGCAAGCTCCAATTCGGGGGAGGGCTTAAATGGCTGGGGGCTATATTCCAAAGCTGTTTCAAATCTTGCTTTTTCCTATTTGGATTTACGAAATTCATATTAATTTTAGTATGAATTTCGTTCACAGGCAGGTGATTGAATAATAAAGGAATTGTTCATTCTTACGTTCAAAAGGTATGAAATTTCCTGCCAAAATTGCTCCTGGACAAAGTCACCATCATTTGCCCGACATCGACTTTCATGCCGTTCGAAGAGCAGGTGCATTTGATCAATCTCTTTATTGATCACGTTGAGTCTTCGCAGCGTTTCTTCTTTATCAATCTTGATCGACATAGTAAGGGTGTTGAGTGTTGCGGGATTCGTACAAGGTTCTTAAAGAGGTTGAGGTGGATGTAGCAAATTTAGTAACCCTAGCGATACAAGCTATATCTATCTAGGGTTAGGGTTTGGTTTCCCAAATTTCATTCAAACGCTCAGTTGGTTATATCAAATTTCCCATCAAGGTTTAGCTGTGAAAAAAATTGAACGAACCTTATCTTGCAACGATTGCATGAGCTTGCTAGTGGTTTACATCGATCAAAGTGAGTAAAACATTGATTTCTTTAACTTTCAAAATGACCTTATAATCGTATACTGATATACCAATATAACTTTGAGTAAAGTTTTAAACTGAAGGATTGGGGCTGCTCAGGACATCTAGGACTTCGATTGATAAGATAGGCATCAACTTGGACATCTCTTTTTGATCAAGTTCTCCAAGGTTAGTTTACTTCCTGATGTTACTCAGACATGTTAATCAGATTCCGATTGACTTACTAATATGATGATTACTTTGACCGATTTTCTTACTCCAGAGTCATCGATTGAACAATCGAATATTCTAACTATCTATATTTCCCATCTGTCCCCCAGTTAGTTGCTGTTTGCTCCCAAGTTGTTGGACTCCGTGCTACGAACTCTGGGAGTCATTCGGCCTACTGTTCAGGGAAGGGGTTATAAATAGAGAATACGACTTACACAATTAGTGAATTAGGACCGAAGGAGCATTTACTCGGTTAGTGGAATAGGATCGAAGGAGGTAAGTCCTATATTAGACTACTGAAGTCTGCATCAAGCTGATTACTAATTTTAAATATGATTTCTAAATTAGTTATCAATTACTTATAAATCAGATTCTTATTGTATTTCATCAGTATGACTAGATCAAGAAGTAATCAACGTAAAAAGGATGCAGGTCATAAAGTCAAATGTTTCAATTCGAGGACTTCACCTAGCTATCATCATTCAAGAGAACTCTATCGTAAGGAGAAGATGATTGGGAAACCTTATTATCATCATCATGCAAAAAGGACTGCGTTGAAGGCACAGCTTACTAAGGATTTAGGTTTACCATTAAATACCAAATTTATTTTTCGTTATAGTGTAAAAGATCATCCTGAGCTAGCTGGAAGAGAAAGAATAAGTATCACTCATGGGACAGTGGTGGTTATTAATAAGCGTGATCTCTCCATAGTATTAGCTGTTCAGTGTATTCCTTTCAAAGATATGACACCAGAACTTCGAGCTCAATATGATCATTCTATATCAACAACTTTCCAACATGCAAGAGCACGAAACAAATGCAAGATTCATTGTTCTCTCCAAAAGTGTGAAGAATCAGATGGCGAACCACTGGATGGCTGGATGGGATGTGCTGGCTGGCGAGGAGGTTGTGATAAGGATAAATTGCTAGGTCAGTATCTTAAAAGGTCATATATTAAATGACAGCTTTTCTTATGCTAGCAATTCATCTCTTTAGGACCTTACTCTTTCAATGCATTTACATCTGCAAATCCGGCACGTATTCAAACCGATTGAGAAAGAATGATAGAGTTTCATCAAATACGTGATTTCTGGGCGGGAAGATTCTCCATACTATCCCTATTCGTATTTAAAACCAATCTAGCTCTAGCCTTTGAGGCTGCGGTACCTGGCTTTCATGATCTTTTATGGCAAGGTACACAAAATGGATTAGTTTTCGCTTCAAACTTGGTAGTTACATGTTTAGGATTTCATAATCATCCGCATACTGATAAAGATCATACTAGATATGGCT